GCCTGCGGCGGCCCCGGCACCGCGCGGCGCCCGAGGTGCGTGGGGCTCCCGCGCAGCCGGGCTCGTCCGGGTCCGGCTGGGTCGGTGTCACGGGGATGGGTCTGGGAGGGACCGGCTGACAGCGCAGGGGAGGCCACCGTGGATGGGGCGGCACGCTGCCCCTCACGCCCCAGGGTGTGCCGAGCTCCGGCACCACTTGGAGGTGCCTGGGGGTGCCGGGCAGGGCCTGGGGCGCGGGCAGCTCCGCGGGGAAGCCGGCTCCATGCCCAGGGTGGCCGCTTGGGGCTCATCCTGAGCATGGGCGCAGTGGGGTTGGCGAGCAGCAGGGCTGGGGGGCAGCGGGGCCGCAGTGCGGGGCTCAGGGCTCCTGTCCCCGCAGCGAGACACCAGCCGGGGCTGCCCGGCGGCGGCTGGGAGGAGCCCGACAGCGGCCACAGCTCCCAGGACTCGTGGCAGGGCAACGGCGAGCGGGGCCGAGCCTCCGACTCCTGCAGCAAGTCGGGCAGCGACAGCCTCTCCGGGGCCAGCCGGGAGCTGGCGAACGCGGCCGAGCGGTGAGAGCGGGGGGCGCGGCGAGGCCCCTGCGAGGGGCTCCTTGTCCCCACGTGCGCGGGCACCGCGTCCTCGTGTTGACGGTGGGGATGGAGCCCCCAAAGCTGCGCGGCCGGCTCCTCCCGGGGGTCCCGCTGCCCTGTGCCGGGCAGGGAAGGGCCTCGGCAGGACGCGGCAGGGCAGCGGCTGCGTTTGGGGCTGAGCGGAGCCCCAGGCCGCTGCGGCCCCCCACGCTGTGCTGGGCTGCGCCAGGATATTGGGGGCTCTCCCGGTGCAGGGCGGACGCTGACGGCCTGGGCGACTGCGTGCGGGAGGTGGGCCTGGTGCGCGCGCTCACCCGCGGCGCCAGGGTCTTCCTCACCCGCGAGGAGGCCCAGCTCTTCGTCAAGGAGTAAGTGGCACGCGTGTGAGTGCGAGCGGCGCGCGCGGCACGGCCCCTGCTGCCGCGCCGGCCCTGAGCCCCCCGCGCCGCCCAGGTGCGCGCTGCTCAACTGCGAGGTGGTGCTGGAGCTGCTGGGCCGCGCGCTGGAGGAGCCCGCCGAGAGCGTCCGCATGGTGAGAGCCGCGCGCGGGACGGCGGCGCGGGCGGTGGGCGTTGCGGGCGGCGGGTGTCGTGGGCGGCGGGTGCCACGGGCGGCGGGCGTCATGGGCGGCGGGTGCCACGGGTGGTGGGTGCTGCGGGTGGTGGGTGCCGCGGGCGGTGGGCGCCGTGGGCGGCGGGTGCCGCGGGCGGCGGGTGCCATGCGCCCGGCCCAGCCGCCGCTCCCCGCAGCGCTCCCTCTGCGCCGTCTCGGCCCTCATGTGCTCCGACCTGCTCTCCCTGGAGCACATCCACGCGGCCACACGGCAGCGCCTGCAGCAGCTCAGCCAAGGCAGCCCCGGACCCGTGGCCAACCGAGCCACCAAGGTGACCGCGGGCGCCTCTCCACGCGCCCTGTCCCTGCGCAGGGGTCCCCAGGGCTCGGCCGGGCACCGCTGTCCATCCCGGCTCATTCCCACCTCCCTCCTCTCTCCCAGATCCTGCGGCAGTTCGAGGCTCTGTGCAGGGACCAACCTTGGCCGAGGACCTGCGGATCGGAGCGGAATCTGGAGCCGCGCGTGCTGGCCGCGGGCTCGGAGCAATGTGCCCAGGACTTGCTGACGGACACGCCGCCGCCACCGGGCCAGGGCCTCCTGGAGCCCGTGAGCGCCGTCCCGCCGGCCCCGGGCACCCGCGCGCGGCCGTGTGCCGCCGGCACGGACGGGCCGGAGCCGAGGAGCGGCCTGGCAGGGACGGCCGGGGACGCGGCGCCCGCCCGCAGCCTGTCCCTCTTTGCCGGCATGGAGCTGGTGGCGCGTCCCGGCACGGTGCTGCCCCCGGACTGTCCCCCCGCGGCACCGCGGACGTTGTGCCCTGCTGGGGACACGGGTGCTGTGGCTCGGCCGGACGCGGGGGGCACCGCGGAGCCCTCCGCCTTCCCCTTCCTCAACATGTAGCCGCGCTCGGGCTCCCGGGGGGCCCGCGGGCGCTCTGCGCCCTGTGGGGTCCCACCGGGAGCCCCGACCCTCCTCGAGGGGCAGCTGCTGCCCCACAGCCCCCAGTTGGGAGAAAAGCCCTGGGCAGCAGCGAGGACAGGGGCTGCGAGAGCCCCTGGCCGCCCAGGAGGCGCGGGGGGGACGGCAGCATCCGGAGCTCCCGTGGGATTGAGTGGCTGGAGACGGGAGCGGGTCGGTGCCGCGGGCGCCAGGGGATGGCGACCGTTTGGTGAATAAAGGTGGCACCATCGCTCCCTGTGCCGCGTCCTGCTGCGCCGTGGGGAGGGGGCTGCGGCCCCCCTGCCCCTGCCCCACCGACCTGCCCCAAAGGTTGCCCCGTCCCGTGGCTTAACTGCCCCGTGGCTCCCGCTGCCCCAGGGCTCTGCCCGCGCCCCAGGGATCCCATGGCCACCCCTGCCCTGTAGGTGCCCTGTGCTATGGTTGAATTTGCACCCGGGGTGAT